AATAAAACGTAGATCAGGATATGAGAAGTATCTATTATTCTCGTAAAGAAGATTGTTTATAGGAGAATATTATTTCCACTTAACGTACAAAAATCAATTTAACTTTAGCGTTCACACTGTTTCGGAATCAATTTAGATAAGAACAGTTTATTCCTATGGGATCTCGTTGGTAGTAACGTCACCTTGGTTCCTGGAATACTATAGTCTGGAAATTACTTTAATCTCGAAGTAATTTTGTCACTCAAGTTACTTTAGTCCTTGGAGGTTATTTTGACTGAAGCCAAGGCTGAAATTACAGTAATTTTATAGATCTGCTTTTAGGGCAGAATTACATCAGATTAGAGGTTATTTTGATCTTTATTCATGTGTTGAAAAAGTTTCTTTTATTCCAGGAAACACCAAGAGATCACTTTCGTCTTTGGGTTACCATATCCTAGAAGTCAGCTTGACGTCGAAGACTTCCTGTCTCGTAGGAAATTCATACCTTATCAGGGGTCACATTTTCTTTTGGTCTACCTTGGACTCAAGATCCCCTTAGTATCAAGGTCACAGAGATTAGAGGCTTCATATCTATAATATCCTAATATCACAGCATCGTTAAGGTTTCTAGATTGCCAGCGTTCTCAGATCGTAGATTATCGAATTTATTAAGATCGTTACGACCATTAGAATACCACAATAATGCTCCAAAATTACATAATTATACCCTAAATTCCACATTCATAAGAAATTTAGTATCCTATACCGTGATTGTATCGTGATATCATAGTCATAGTCATATTGTTTTTATATTGTCACTTAATGCGTATATATTATGGAATATTGTTACCTTGTGGTATTCTTGTTAATGTTTCGATTAACCCGCGTACAATACTTTTCCTATTTGCGAATAAAACAAGATATTTGCAGACATATTTAGCCACAAAAGTTTTAACTATATTTCAATTCGTTTTCTTATTTTCTCTTATTTATCACGTAATATAGATATGTTTACGTACTACGATCAGTTAAGCAAGTACGTTAAATGGCATCATTGTTTAAGCGATCTATTAGAGTAGTTTCGGAGCAACGGCATTAACAATGAAACGACCCTTTCCTAAATCTCGAAATTTGTAGCTACCTATCGATATTGTTACTATCGAAGCACGAGCCACAGTAGACGTGGTTCATTATCAGTCTAGTTAATGGAATAATACCCATGACTATATCATGTTGTTAATAACTTCATCGGTAGGTTTACATGCGTTCCGATAGGAAAATATTTATATATATGAAACGCTTCTCGTTCCCTTTACTTCTTCACATAACATTTATTTTTGCTTTGGATTTTTTTTCGTGTTTTATTCGCAAAGCCTCTTTCGATTTCGAATCCTTGGAAGTGAAATTAGTAAAGTTCACAATTGTAAGCATCGTGATCGTTGACCTTGTCTTCCTGCGTACTTTGTTCATAACTCACGAGCGTTCTCATTCTTCGGTCTTATTATATACATAAAGTTCTTTCTAGATAAACAGCCCGATTTCTATGGAAACGGATTGGATAAATACGTTTCTTACTTTCACGAGAATCAGCTCCCTAAAATAATCCCTGTTTGTTTCGCAACACGAGTCAGAACTAACGTGTATTATCCATTCACTTAAACGAGATATTTGATGAGAACGTTAGCAAATAAACATCGCGTCTCCTTCTATTTTTTCTCTATACATCCACAGGATTTCTCCGTAGAAACATCTGAAAATTCTTGGAGACATTTTCTTAAAAACTCTTAATCCTTTCCTGACGGAGAAATATTTTATTTTACAGCGATAAAGCGGAGAGCAGACTGAAAGATAGACCTTTTGCGTCTATGTGATACCTAAATTTACTTGAAACATAAAATTTGTTCGTATAATATAATGGAGTAATAGTACGTAAATGTAACAGAAAGCGATAAACGTAAAATACCTGCATGAGTCCAGGACTGGCACAGTCTTTCGAGTGATAAAAATCGAATAGCAAAAAGAATTTTTACGTTCATCGTTTAGAACAAATTAGGATATCAACGTTAATCCTATGAAGTAGATTGCGAACGTTCATCCACTTATGGGAAACTTAACAAATACGGTACTGGTATGACATTTAACTTAGTTGTTAAAATTTCTCTGTTAATGGTTAAAGTAAAATCATTCCGCCATTAGATTTTCAATTCTTCGATTTTTGTCGATTGCTCATAGAAGAATAAAAATGTTTGTCTTTGGGCAACGCTGCGAATTCGATCGCTGTACCTGGAATAAATTTTTAACGAATTCCTATGTCGGATCTCGTATATGCCATTAAGTAGATGGCCGGCACGGCCTTTAAATATACGTACAGATTGTCGAAAAGGATCGGTTCTGCACGTAAAAATCCAAATTAACGGGAACAAAGGTCTCGCTGGAGCGTGATTGATTTGATCGCTCAGCCGTCACCAAGCGTTTAAGCCGCAAATCCGCCCTGGAGTTTGAGGTTGCGCTTTTTTTAAACGATCAAATATATGGAGGTTTTACAGCGTCGCGTCGCCTCTTCCTCCCTGGCCAATCTATCGAATTTTTTACGGTTCTGTAATCACGCATAACAATCAGTTTAATTTGGTAACGACCGCGTGCACTGACTGCGGTCAACTTTAATGATTTGTTAACGTTCCAACGTTGACCTGCTTTTGACTATTTGGCTGCCATAACGTGTCGGATAACGTTTAAGGATATTAAAAATAGGACCGTTTTATTTTAACCTGATCTTTAATTAGATACTCTGGAGTATTTGCGTGCCTCGTATCATTTTTTTGTTGACTGAAAATGTTTATTAACGTTGCGAGTTACGTGATAAGCAAGTGCATATGCATTTTCGATCCGCTTGTAACTGGCAAGCTTGTAACTAGGCAAGTGTGATATTTTTGTCGTTATTATATTATGTTTTTAGGTAGATTTGTAACGCATCTCTAGGCAGTAATTTAGTTTAGTATACTAATCGAAAATATTAGTCGAAAGAGTTCGAACTTTGTAATTCGGAGGTAAATATATCAAGAAATTTATTATTGAAAGTAAAGTACAAATAGAAATGAGAAATGAAGGGCAGAGATAGCAAACTGCGAAGGATTCACTACACTTGTTGTATCTTTTCTATAATTAAACGTCATATTTTGCTCATGACGAAAATTAGATTGATCGCCCATTGACGTAAAATCTTAATCCTTGCTAAATGAAAGCTATTTATTCATAACTTTAAATATTAACAAAGACGAGTGTCGAATTATTGTTATTAATGTAATATCGTTGTCTGTTTTTGCTCAAAAATTTCTTCGTATATACCAAAAAATGTCTTCTCTTTTTATTAAATCTTCAAAAATTAATAAGCAAGCTTGCGAGAATATTCCGCGTACGTTTATCGAATATCACCGCCAGTAGTATGAAGTCTAATATTGATACAACAGGTGTAAACAAGTAAGTTGATTTGTAGTAAAGGCAGCCCATTGAATGGAAAGCCGTATTATCATAACAAACCAATTGGCCTCGATTTACATTTCCCTCGCCGCCGTTACATTCCTACCAATATCACGATGTTAGAAGCGTAAATTTACGAAAGTGTCTTATCTTCCCTTGAATATCGTAACCTCCGTTTACATTGTGAATCATAAATGTATCAATATGCCGGCGATGTTGCGATTAAGCTCCTAAATGCGAATCTAAATGCGAAACTAATGCGGAACCGTTCCATGCAAGTTTCATTCAAACTTACGCTTTATGCATCGGTGAAACTGATATTGGTGGAAACACGCAGATACGAATTAAACTCATCTCAGCGGAATTATTGCTGATGGTCTCCCTTCGCTCAGAAATTTTTTTTTTTATCACTATCCGTATTAACACGCTTCTTCGAATCAAATATTATCGACGCTGGGAACTAGAGACGCAGAATGTTCTAAATCCAAGATCTTTCTCACAAGGAAGTAGTGGTTTATCGACTTTTTCTTTCTTACTTTTATGTACACGTATAATTACACATTTTCCTACGAATAAATTTTTATTCAGACACACAGGCAGTCACAGTTAATTCACGCGGTTAGGAGGATAAGATAAGAAAGAATCTCGGTCGAGTCCCATGCCCATTTCGTAAACGGAACGCGTGTGGCGGTAAATTTGAAACAATCGCGAAACCTGCTGCGTATCGTTTTGATGAAATCGGTAGGGGCGGCTAATTGGTCAACGTGATCCCGTTGCAAATAATTAAGAGGAAACGGCACGGTGGTAAGGTCCACGTGGGCCGCGTAACTTGGAAAAATACGACTCAGCCATGGCAGTGTTCGTTTCGGTTGTAAGTCGCAGCCGGCGGCAGCTGCGGATAAAAGAGAATTGCCTTAATTACGGCATGCCATTTGCAAACAGCCGCGCGTGCACTTTGATAGCCATGCTTCGCAGCTCGTTTCTGAGAGTACGAAACGGCGAAGCCACGGAAAGAGGCCTTTCTAGAATTTATGTACACGTGTTATATGCCTTTAGTCGCGGTACATGGCCATTACCAGTCTGCGCCGCTGTTTCTACCACCGACATTAAATCCTCTATGTACATTATGTATACATACAGCCATGTATACGTCACGCGTATAATATGGAGTGTATGCAGAGTGTGATCACAAAGAATAAAATCCTCGCAATTCGATTTATCCGGAATCTTTAAATTAAAATCGATCGTGTCAAGAATAAGCAATCGTCCACAAAATTTTGAACGCCGGTGGACATTGCGTAGCGAGTGCGTATGGCATTCCAGAAGAAAGCTGTATCGTATCGTCGCGTGACATACTCTCGTGCCCTCGAATTTCTGTATTTTCCTTGGAATCCGACGGAACGCAATACGTTAAAATTGAATTCTCTCGTAAAGCTTGATTACTCGCATTTGCATCCCTTTGTGTTTAATCTTGTCAATTATTCCATAAATAGAAGAGCGTAGCGTTTCTATTCCTTGTTACCAATGTTTGATTTTCATTGTAGGAAGGTTCCGGACAATGGGTCAGTCTCGATTCGGAGCTCGAGATGAGAGGCGCCGAGATTATCGGCACGAAAAAGCCAACTGGCCACTCGCTTCTCATAGACTGCCGTTTGGAGCTTCCGTTCGGTAAGTTAGCAGAAAATTCCTTCTTATTCGGTGTAGAACAGTGATGGAAGCATGTCTGTCGAATGTAAGCGTACGTGTCCGCGAACGTATATATGTACCCCAGATTACAGATAAATGAATAGAAAATTGGAATATTAATATTGAAAATCTGGAGAAAAATCACGTAGATTCTTGAAATAATTGGAGTAGAAAATAAGCGAATATGAAAATAAATACGTAATTCAATTATCGAGTCGGATTAAAAAAGGAGAAGCAGCAGACACTTTTTATCTTTGAAATGGAAAATATTACCGTGAGCGAAGCTCTCTGATTTGCAAATACGCCGTAGTCTCGATCAATGTTTAATAGCCATTAAAGATGTGGCATTGGAAATCCTTAGCAGTTCATTCTGTTTCTTCGGTCGATCGATTCTGTGTGTTGTTTCAGTCTGTGTTATTCCGATATTTTCTAAGGCTTCCATAGAGAGAAATGGAGAACACAATTGATTTGAAATAATCAAATGCTGCTTGTGAATTTAAAGTGCCTGTCGAGGTATCGTTTTACAATTCAAAACAAAAAGCAGAGAAAATACTTTCTCGTTAATGCGTTTTTGTTATCGATGTAGAGTGAATCGTTCGACCTTTCGCCATGAAGATCCATTCACAATTTTCGTCATGGTTATTAGTTGTCATGTATGTAGATCAAAAACCAAAAGAAGATTTTGTTTTTTCAAATGCCTTTTACAATACCTTTATAACCGATCATCGAGGTATTATATTGGATATCGCGTTAAATATATTTTAGCTTAAAACAAACGTCGACGGTTATCAACGACGTAATTTTCTAAGTTACGCAGATCCATAAATTCATTTTCTACTTAAACATCGATTAGTACGTTTACCAAAAAAATATACGCTCGAATATAACACACGAGAAACAACGAATCGATGAATATCCTAATTAACGTTGCATGATTTTCATTCCAAACGATTGATAACACGATTCATTTTCTATTCATTTATCCACCTTGCCCACCCAACATGAAGACCTTACGAACCGTCATCATGGTGCACGCAATATGCGCCATACTTTTCACGCGTTAACCAAGTACGATCACGTGAATCAAGTAGATTGCTCTTTACTGTGCGAGATATCGTCGAGCCTACAGCGATTGCCAAAACTTACCTATATACCACAACCGTCTATTGCTACTCTCGTATCTGACAAACACGATTAACATGCAAAGTATCTTATCGAATCGTATTCCAATCCCACTGACTAGATCGTCAGTGTCAGACGATGTAATCGGTGGAAACAAACTGTAACGTTAAACCGGTGGAAGAAAGAGGTAGACAGAGGTTAAACGAAGGGAATAGGATGTAGTTGTACTAAAAGAAGGTGGCGACGGGTGGGGTGGGGTAGGGTGGAGGTGGGGTTGGGGAGTAAGAGGGTGGAAGCCTGTAGGGATGCATTGCAGCGGTGAATCTAAGGGGTCGAGTGAAATTGCCTGGCAGTAACCGGCAGCACTCGTGTAATCGAGGCGATAATGAAATGCCAGTGGATCGTGCCATTTCCTCGTGATCGACGTAGATCCACTTGAGAAAAAATGAAGACAGAATGGTTCTGCCCCGTACACAGTGCACCCGGTCCTCCGC